GGCCCGGGAGGGGAGTGAGGCGGGTGGGGAGGGGGAGCAGTTAGAGTTTTCGGGCTCCGCGAGCCGCGGGCCGCCGCGGCCGGGCTCTGGACGGCGCGAGCAGCCGGGGCTCCGCGAGCAGGGCTGCACCCGGGGAGGCAGCGGGCCCCCCACGTCCGCCAGCCCGCCGGGTCGTCGTCGACCGTCACGGGCCGGGGCTCAAGCGGATCCTAGAGGCCTCGGTGGAGGTGCGCCCCACGCGGGCTGGGGGCGGGGCCCGGGCGGGGCCGGGGGCGGGGCGACGGGAGGCGCGCGGGGCCCGGGCTGGGGCGGGCTCGGGGCGGGGCTGGGGCGGGGCGAGAGGCGCGCGCGGCCGGTTGGGGGGCGGAGCCGGGGCGGGGCTGGGGCGGGGCGAGGGGGCGCGCGCGGCCGGGGCGGACGCGGCCAGGGGGTGGGGCGTGCTCGCCGGGCGCCCCGGGGGGCCCCTCTTTTTCTGCCCCTCTCCCGCGCCGAGACCGCTAGTCGGGTTCCCGCGGCCGCTCGGCCCGGACCTCCTCCTCGCCGCCGCGACTCCCCGATCGTGAGCCGCGCTGATTGGTGGTCGGCTGGCCGGGATCGAAGTGGTTGGGGGCCGGGGGCTGGCGTGGAGGTGAGGCGCCGGCCGCGGCTAGGCGCCGCTTCTCGGGGTAGGGGTGTCCCCGGGCTTGAGGTCCCGGGTGGTGGAGCGGGTGGTCGGCGGATCGGTCGGGTCTGGGCGGCGGGGTGGCTGGCCGAGTTCGGATCTGGGGTTCCGTGCGCGCGGAGACACCTGTGGGACCGCGAGCGGGAGCCACCTGTCCGCGGCTCTCCTTTTGCAACCCGCGTTGCCCAGCGCGGGGTCCGGCTGTCCCGCAGACCTAGGCCTGTAACGCGCCACCGGAGATCGAGACCTTCCTGGGGAAAGACGTTCGATTTTGTTGTGGTGGTTGGTTTAAATGGAGTGCTTACCGTTTATTTTCCTGCTCGCGTGCAACAGTTGTGTGGAAGCTGGTTCGGATTGCGCCTTCGCGGGTTTTACGTGCTTCGAGGAAGAGCTTTTTGCAGCTCCTGACTGTATCGGTCTCGAGGGTTCTGGTTGCGCGTGGAAGAATCGCTTAAAGGGATAACTGGCTCTCCCGCAACTAAGGCGTGTTTTTTAATTTTAAAATCTCTGGACTGCAATTATATTTAATGTTGTTTAAAAAAATTACGGCAATGCTATTCTAACAAAAAAAATGTATTTACTGGCGGGGGGTGGGAGGAGGCGAAAAAAGGGGGGGAGAGGAGAATCACAATGAACAATTCGGGGTGTCGCATCGTGGGACGCGCTTCTCAAGTTGAATATTGTTAAGGGCTTTTTTTTTTTTTTCTCTATCGGCCGCACAAATACCACCTCTTGCCTTCTCAAATTGCGCGGATTTGGGTCCGCAGCCTGGAAGGCCAGAGTCACCTCCCCCACCCTCCCACCCTCCCTTGGCCAGTGGCCAGTTTTAGGAAAGAAACGTTCAAGACTGGGTCAGATCTCCCCGCTCGGGGGCAAGGTTTTGGATGGAAACGTGCCGAATTCAGGGTTAACGACTCTCTCTCTCTTTTTTTCCCCCCTCTAAAAGTACGGTGTGCTGCGCTTGCTGGTTTGAGGCCGCGTTGGCTTCTGTTTGTCGTTTTCTCTTTGAAGTAGATATTGAGTGTCAGGGGCGAATTGAACCCGCCCAACAGCGTTGGAACAACTCGAGAATGTGGCGGCATCTATAGAGAAATGCCAGAATGCGTTCTATATCACAAGGCGCCCGCGCGTGTGTGCACGCGCGCGCGTGAAAACTTAACCGGAGTGCGTTGGGCTGGGTTGTGATATAAAATATCCCGCTCTGTGTGCGGCGGTAAAATGCATTTGGACACTGGTAATTCAGAGTATTGTTAGCACGCTTGGGCCGAGGAGCGGTGATTTCAGCTCTCTCTCTCTCTCTCTTTTTTTTTTCCAGTGGGACTCTGCAGCGGCCGGGTTTGTTGTATGGATTAGGTGGCTAATGATTTGTTTCCACCTAATACTAAAACCATCAATTAGCATTCCTGAGAATAGCTAGAGGAAGCATTTTATAGAAGTCACAAGGTGAGGAGCAGAAACTGCTCGGGTCTAACAGAGGATCAAATCACAGCCCCTGGTGTGTGGCCGTGAACCGCGCTAACTGCTTTTCCTAAAGCTCCATTTCTTGATGGTTCAAGGCTTGTGCCTCATAAAACTAGTTTGATATTTAGATGAACATCAGTGCATGTGAAGTTGTTGAGCTGGTGCCCGGCCCAGATAAAGTCTCACTGAAAATTAGCTGTTATTATTTTACTAAGTCTGAAAGGAGGCCGAATCCAGGATAATGCTTATTAGCCGTGGTAAACAGGGCAAGGGGTATAATTCAGAAAAGTGACTGTTAAAAATTAGCTAATAATGTCATGCAGAAAGGGACTTTTATTTTGATTAAAATTAAGGGAGAATAAAAGAACAATGAATTGATATGGTCACTATCGCTATATCTAAAATACGCAATTTAACATACGGCATCAATATATCAACTGACCATTGTTAAATGATAGAATTCTGTTTTTCTATTGCTAGAGAGGTAATTTAAACTATTACCGTATCTGAAATACATAATATATGGTATCAATATATCAATTGGCCGTTGTTTCATAATTGCACCCTAATTGTTTTCCTGTTGCTAGCTTGGTAATTTAAATCATTAAATTAATTGTCCCTCTTTACTGTCTTTTCTTATTTAATATTTAGTTGCTATTTCTTGTCAAGGAATTGAAAAATGCTTCCCATTAGGGATTCTGGATTTTGCTAGCTTTTATTTCATCATCATCGTAATTTGAGAAATGCGCAGGCCAGTTCATTCATTCTGAACTCTGCAACAGTGTGCTTTCCTCTGCAGCAGGGCGAGTTTGCAGGCAGTAAGACACAGTTTTAAGAAGAAATCCCTTCAGCGTTATTTCTGTTTTGAGATAGTTGTGCAAAAATAATCTCAGATACTCTCGAGATCTCTTCAGTGCTCCAGATCAGTTAGTGCAGTTTTAAATGGTACATAAAGTGTGGCATTAAAGAGTAAGTGTTGTCACCTTTTAAAAATAGCATGGTTATTTTGATGAAAAATGAATATTTTGGCATCAAAGGCTGAGACAAAATTACCTAACTGGTTCTGACAATAGTAAATGGTTGGGTAAAACTTAAGCATTAACTGTTAGACTGCTCTTGGTTTGAAAATGTCTTTAATTTCTTGTTGTGTTTTAGAGAAACCAAGGTAGAAATTTTCTGAGGGTAAATTATGATATGATATGAGACTAGGAAAGAAATATGACTTGGAACTCTTATTTTCCTATTTTACAAAAAGCTTTACTGGAACAATAGAGCCTAACTTGACCTCATATCAAACATATATACATTTTGTATGTTTTAAAAATTAGATATTAGAGTTATCAAATTATAACTATTCATTTATTTTTAGAAAACTATCTCACCAACTTCTGAGTCTTGTTAGATTAAGAGGGCTTTTATCTTGCACTGATAAAATGAAATGCTATTTAATTCTTAAACATTCCGTTTCAGAATTACACATAGTATCCTCATGCATATGCCATAATAGAGGACTCTGTAGAATGGTATCTTAAATTATACCATTCAGTTTTGGTAAAAACACATTTAGAACAGAAGACTTTTATGTTCATTAATTTTTATAATTATACATTGTTTTTCTTTTGTAATACTAATAAAAGCCATTTAAAATTAAAAAAAAAGTGTTTCCTTAATTTGCAAACACAAATGGGACTAATTATTTGCTTTAAGAGACACTGATTCTGTGAATTAAATATTTTGGGTATGAGTGAATTCTTCAGTTTTCTAGTAAATGATGCTAAACTCGGGTTAATATTCTGTGAAAAACCCCTTTGAGTAGGAAAAAATAGTTTTTCCAACACTTTCTTTTAAAAACTTTGTAATATATTGCTTCCACTGCCCTAAAGATAGGTTAAATTTTTTTAGTTTACTTTTAAATCATAATGCTGTCAAATTTAACATAATTTTTTTATGTTATTACCCCTTAAATCTCAAACGAAACCTTAATTTCAACAGAGTTTGCTATCTCAAAACATACCTTGTACCTTTTTTTTTTTGGTATGTTTGCTTATTGCCACGGTCTTTAAGTAAGCAGAGGCTACCCTTTCCCAGTTCAGTTTAAAATCAACAGATATTTACGTGACACTGAGGGTCACTCCAGCAGAAGCTGAATTTCACATTAGACCTGATTATTTCTGGATAGACAATTCTAAGCTACCTCCTGTTTTTTTTTTCTTTTTCTTTCTTTCTTTCTATTTTCTTTTTTTTTTTTTGGTGTGTTTTTACTTTATATTTCAAATTCATTTAAAAATCTTTAAGGGCAAGGAATTTTGTCTCATGTTTCTACACTTTAAAGATACAGCGAAAACCAATACGGGGATAGTGCAGAACCTCCCAAAGAAGGTTGCCCATATTAGCGTGGAATAATAAAAAGGTTTTGATAATTTGGCTTAACTGTCAATTGATAGATGATAAAAAATTGACAGTATTTTTTCATGAAAATTAACCTGGGAGGTAAGGGTTGAATGCTTAGTTCAGAATTCAAATGTAATTTCACACAGATATGTCTTTTAAAAATTGTTCATTCGAGGACTGATAGCATGGCTGTTCTTAATCTTATTATAATCACAGTTGAGTATTAATATTTTTTTTATCACTACGGTTCCTGGAACCCAGAGATTCCATGATGGCTTAAAAGGGCTGTTATAGTTACTATCCTTCATAACATTTTAGGAGGTTACGCTGGACTTGGAGTCATTATGTGAAGTGCTCTGGATACAAAAATTAGTATTGGAAACATAATTGTGTTATCTTTTAAACTTAGTATGACTTAGGGGGTAACTTGGGGGCCAACGATATAAACAGTGTCTTTTTTTTCTTTAATTGCCTTATTTTAATTTACAGATGTCTGCCAGGATTAATATAGTTGATGAACTACCTGCCCCTTTCTGCTCAAGGTAAGTGACATTTTTCACTTAATAAAAATACAAGGCAGAATTTGAAGTTCATATAAAAAACCCACCCAGTTTTAGAAAGTAGTCTAATCCCAGACTCCAAAGAAATAATTCCTATGGAGAGTAAGAAAATACTTTAATTAGAGAACGATTTATATTATGGTTCTACCTACATCAGCATTATCTTGGAACTTTTATATTTATTTATATATGCTGTATAATATATATAAACATAAATTTTATATAAATATAATATAAATATTAAAAAATATATATATATATACACACACTGTGTGTGTTGTGAAGTTAAACACATTATGCATAAGCCTGGTTGTCTGCGAGGGATTTTATGCGAGTAAATATTTAAGGTTGGGTCCTAGCATGTGAACTTTATTTATTTTGGTAGTACTGGTTGAACCCTGGAGCAAAGACATGTGAGGCATGTGTTCTGTCACAGAGTTACGTCTCCAGCCAGTGCATGTGAATGTTTAAAAATGCAAACAGGTGCTTCTCATTTACTATAGCTCATTCTTGCTGTAGCATATATGTGACAACAGAGAAAAGAGAAATGGTGGGTTATTGAAAGGCTTTAAAGTTTAAGGATAAAACATTATATTAAGTTGCATGTGTATATGTGTTGTAAGACTTAGACCTTTTATTCAAGGGACGTTTAAGTCTTATTTTAAATAAACCATTCAGAAGTTCATTATTTTATGATTTCCAAAGCTTCGGTTTAAATTGTAGGATTCTTTCAATATGAAATTTGCCATATCTCTTATTAAAACTTTGTAATTAAAAATTTTCTTTTATTTTGTAGTTTTGGATTCTAAAACCGGTGGAGAACAGTATTTGATGCAGCTGGGGATTGAACCCTGGTTGGCTGTAGGTATGGCAAAGCCCTTTACCTTCAGTCCTGTGTCTCCAGCCCAGTAGGTGATTTTTTATGTTTTCTCTATTTCAGAGGCTGATTTAATTCACTGGTTTCCCTCATGATTGTGGGAATTCAGAAGACCTTCAACATTTCTCATAATAAATAGTACTAAGTAAGTGAATATCATGAAGCATTTTGAGTTAATCAAGATTTTCTATTTCCATATTACTCTTTTTAAAGCTATGGTTTCATCTTTTTAAATACTGATTTTAATGAAGTGTTTTTTGTTATGGGATAATCTTAATCAGAAATACTAGTCATGCATTGTAGGAGAATTGCCTTGTATATTTTTCAGTAAATAAGATGTTTCAATTAATTTGAATTAAATGAGTGAATTATTTTTTAAAATTTTATTTTGCTTTAATGAAATCTGAATAAAATAATAAATATTATTAAATAATAAAAATAGTTTATACCTGTGAGTAAATTGTATATCAGAATTTCCTGGAGAGTGGAAAACATGAATTTTAGGTTATATCTGAGTTCTACAAACTAAGAAAATTTGGGAATTATTTTGATATGCAACCTGCCTTGGAAACCACTGCAGTGTTGTAATATTGGAGGATTTTTATTTTAGGACGATAGACACTTGGAGGCTATTCTTCTTCTTTTTTTGGTAGAGAAATCTGATAGTACTTATTGGAAAAAAATTCTTCACAATTTTTTTGTGTCATTGTAAGAAGTGAGATTTAAAAATTAAATTTTTATTTTTAGCAACTTTGTCAGCTAATTTATTTTAAAATCTTTCCCTTCGTGGACTAAGAAGAAAAGGTCATATTTACATGTATTTATAATGTAGTAAACATCGTGTATAATGTAATATAAACATGTATGTTTATAGTGTGACATAAACATATCTAGTATTTTTATATTTATTAGTTATTTTAGGAGGCCTATATGCTACAATTCAAGTAATCTAGGATTTTTTACTTGAAGCATAATGGGAAAATTAACATAAGTAGAGTAAATATAGTAAATACAGTAATAACTTAGAAAAAGTAATTTGTCTTTGTAAATTGGTTATTGGATTATATTCTTTTAAAAAATTTTTTTTTCTTTTATTATTATTTTTTTTGGGGGGGTCACATCTGGCGATGCACAGGGGTTACTCCTGGCTCTGCACTCAGGAATTACTCCTGGCGGTGCTCAGGGGACCATATGGGATGCTGGGAATTGAACCCAGGTCGGCCGCGTGCAAGATAAACGCCCACCCGCTATGGTATTGCTCCAGTCCCTGGATTATATTCTTTGATAATAAATCAATCCTAATATCAGTCAGAAAATTGATGAAAGATTTTGCCATCTGGTTTCCAAATATTGTGAATAAACTTTTTGTAGAAGATACAAAGATTTTATAATCTACCCACTGATTAATTAAATAACTCATGACAGCCTAATCTGTTTTTTTCTAACTTTGGTTTAGGAAGTGGTTTTACAAAGCTGTTCATAGCACAGTTGTTTTGGACATTCAGTGATTCAGCACTAATCTCATTATCAGTGTGATCTTCCCTCCATCATTGTCCCCAGTTTCCCACTCAGTCTCACAAACCTGCGCCCTAACAGAGGCACAAAAATATTTATTTTATATTTCTTGTTGCAACAAAATGGTCAGTAGAATTACAAAAAAAATAAATAAATAAGTGGTCCTAAAACGCATGTATTCGTTGTCTTTGCTCTTAGAATTGGAGGACTCTGAAAGTAGACCTGGGAGAGATGAAGGGGTAGTTAGGACAGAACTGGCATTGACTTGTCCTCAGTCTTTGATTTTTTATATGTAAGACTTTCTCCTCATTAGCTTCTTGCTTCCTTGGATCCTGTGCTCCACGCCGAATGCCTCTTCCACCAGAGAAAAGTTCCTAGTTAATTTTTACAATGATTGCAAACAGGGGTGGGTGAAACTCAAGGAAAAAATTTTGCTCTCCAATTTTTCATGGGTTGTTTCCTAATGGTAGTGAGAAATTACTGTGATTTTTTTTTTTTGTGTGTGTGTTTTAGTTTGAGTATTCAAGGACAGTAGTCATCTGACTGCTTGTTCAAGATGCAGAACCAACAAGGATATTGCAGCTATTGCTGCGTGAGCTACAATAACCTGGACCAGGTGAGTGGATTCCATTAATTATGATGAGACCTTGGAGGACCTAGTTGTGACTTCTCCAGTCAGCTTTTGTTTTTGTTTTTTTTCATCTAGTGCTAATTTGAACTCTGTGCTCTGGGGTTATTCCTAGTGGTGCTTTAGTAACCATTTGGTCCTGGGGATTGAGCCCAGACCTTCCACAAATAACATGCACACAGCTTCCATGAGTCTCTCTTAGGCCCTCACTTCTTTAATTTACTCAGTTTATCCAGTCATTGAACAGATTAGATTGAGAATCTGCTGGTTGACAAACACTGCATCTATCTCTGTAGATAGGACCATGAACATAACTGGTCCCTCGGTTCATGAAGTTTACTTTAAAAATCTGGAGAGATAGGTAGGGTACTTTTTTTATGCAACTGACCTGGGTTTGATTCTCAGCATCTGGTATGGTCCCCCTTGAGCCCCACCAGGAGTGATCTCTGAGCGCAGACCCAAGGAGTAACTCTTGAGCACAGTCAGGTATGGACCAGAAACCAAAAAAATGTAAAAAGTTTACATTATGGTGTGGTAGTAGAGAAAGTAGTAACATAAGTTTAGTACAAAGCATATCAGCTTGTGATAAATGTCATGAGGAAAATAAAACAGGAAAGGGAGTGAAGTTCTAGGTAGGATGAACAGGTCGGGTTAAGGAGGTGACACGTGAGTAAGGATTTGAATGAAATAAAGGACTCAGCCTTGCTTATATTTGGGGGAGGAAGAGAGAGCAGGAAGGGGGAAGGAAGAGAAAGCAAAGCTCTATGACTCTAAGGCAGAAGTGTGGCCAAGGTGATTATGCTAGAGGCAGGATGGGCAAGAGGGTAGGACTGAAGCACTGTCCTCCCCTTGTTCATCGATTTGCTCGAGTGCGCACCAATAACGTCTCACAACAAATTGTGAGACTTGTTACTGTTTTTGGCATATCAAATACGTCACGGGGAGCTTTCCAGGCTCTGCCGTGCAGGCGGGATACTCGCGGTAGCTTGCCAGGCTCTCCAAGAGGGGCGGAGGAATCGAACCCAGGTCGGCCCGGTTGGCAGCATGTGAGGCAAACGTCCTACCTACTGTGCTTTTGCTCTAGCTCAGAACTGACTTACACTTCTGAAAATCAATAGATGGAATTGCTGTATATTAAATTATGTCCCCTTTCAAATCACAACCTGAAATTCTAATCCACAACATGACTGAGTTTGTAGATAGACCTTTAGAAATTATTTGAATCACAACTGATACCAAATTAACTCAAAGTGAATCAAAGACAAATACAAGGGCTAAAAAACCTAGTGGTGTGTGTGTATTTGTATATGTGTGTGTATGTTTGCTATTACTGTTAATATATTGTTAATATTATTGTTACTCATTTTCTTCTTGAAGTTACTACCCATGTTTATGTACCTTCTACATTCTCTATGATTAAAGATCAAAAATAAAATAAAAAAAAACCTAGTGAAAGAAAACATAAGCAAAAATCAATTATAGTGACCACAGATTGGACAATCTTAGTGAAAACAGAAACACACGCAAACCAAATGGGGGAATGGTAAATTCAAGCAGTGAAAACTTTATTTTTGTGCACCAAAAACTTTACCATACCTTATTATCTAATGTCTTACACAACACAATTTTTTGAATTATACTTCTATTAATAAACTTAATTCTTATATTAAACCATATAAAGGAGCCTGGACTTAGAAATAAGGATAAAAGAAGAAACAAAAATGACAGTGATTAGATATGAAAAATAAACTTAGGTAAGAAAAACAAACTTATTATCTGTTAACAATATGATTGTGAACATAGAATATCCTGAAGATAGCTGGTAAATTTAGACTTGATAAGTGAGATAAAAAACTTATTGAGATAGCAGAAAAAGAAATTATATTTTATGTACAAACACCATACAACATAAGAGATTTAAGAGAGCTAGAGAGATAGTACCGGAATTAAGGTACTGCATGTGGCCAGCTCTGGTTTAATCCCAGGAGTCACATAAGGTCACCTGAGCATCACCAGAAATGACCCTTAGCACAGAACCAAGAATAAACCCAGAGTGCCTCTGGTGGGCATGGTTCCAAAACCACACACACACACACACACACACACACACACACACACACACACGAGATTTAAAGAGATATTTACAGACTGAGCCATGTGTCATGCATGTGTGAGGCCCTTGGTCCGATCTCTGGCATCATAGGTAGGCTTCTGGGTGAGAAGCGTGAATGGCTGTGATCCCTAGTACCACCACCATTACCCTCACATCATCAGTGGCAAAGACATGTTCATAGTTACATCAGAAAACATTAACATCTAGGGAAAAAATGAAAAATAAACACGTGTAAGATATTTATATAGAAAACTATTAACATGAGAAAAATTGAAGAAAAATGAAATTATTCATGCTGTACACTATGTTCATGGACTGGAAAAATTTATGTTTCCGATATATGCAGTCCAAACTGATATATTCAGTAGAATTCCAATCAGGATCCAGGAAAATTTAGTTTTTAAGTTAATTAAAAAATTCCATGTAGCTATGCAAGGCTGAGCCAAATAATCCAAAAGAAGGATAGTTGCTTTAATAGACAGGATATCAAAGCATATCACCTGGGTCGCATCCCGCAAAATCTACTTGTCTCCAGTATATGATGACCCTCTTTGGACCATGTGTCACTCTCTGTCCAGTGTATGCTTTCCTAATCTGAAATCATGACCCTGGGCCATTCCTGGACTGTCCCCCAATGATTCTTTGATGTCTCAGCTCTCCCTGACATCTCTGACCACAGTAACGTGCACAGGGGAAGGATCTCTGGCTCTGTAACTGTTGCTGGGCCTCTCTTGGCTGTTGCCCTTGCAGTTGGGTCATCCCGTCCTGGTTTCTTCTTCTCTGGTCATGGCTACAGTGCAAGTGGGTGAGACTCCTGTGCCCAGAACATTTTCACCGCCTGGGTGTCTGTGCCCTGCTTAAACCTGAACTTTCTTGGGCATCTGAGCCTTACCCGCAGCCATCCTGTTAAATCGATTTTGTAAAATTTGTTATTAAAGCAACTATGATTAACAAAGTTATTCATAGTTGAGTTTTAGACATAAAGTATTGTAGCACTGATCCTATAACCTGTGTCAACTTCCCTCCACCAATGGAAGTTACCAGGTTCTCTCCCAAAAATCTCTCCCTGAGCATCAAACCATATTTTTAATTAATTATATTTTTGGTTTTCAGGCCATACCCCATAGTGCTTAGCATTTACTTCTGGGTCTGTGCTCAGGGACCACTCCTGGAGGGCTCAGAGGACCACATGGGGTGCCAGGAATCGAACCCGGGTTGGCCTTGTGGAAGGCAAATGCCTTACCTGCTCTGGCCCTGGAGAGTTTGTTTATTTGTTTGTTTTTTTAAAAAATCCATCAGAAAATCAGGAAGAAACTTGAACAGATATATGAGAGAGGATATCAGGAGTGACCCCTGAGCACAGAACTGAGAATAAGCCCTGAGCAACCCCAGGTGTGGTCAGCCCCTCACCAATGTATAAAACCAAAAATGTTTTTGGTTGAGAATTGCTTACAATATCCAAAAGCTGGAAATAACATATATATTCAAGAGTAGACATAATAAGAAAATGTTGCATATTTTTATATCATGGAAAACTATGGAGAACTGAAAATTAACAGATACAGCAAATATGGGTAGCTGTCACAAAGAAACTTTTGATTGAGAAATGAATGAAAAAGAATATTGTTTGCTTCCATTTATGTAAATACAAAATCTTTCAAAACTCTAACCCTAAAACTTAGGAAAATAGGGACTGGAGAGATGGTACAGTAAGTAGGGTACTTACCTTGTATATGGGTGACCGGGGTTCAGTTTCTGGCACCCCATATGGCCCTCCATGACATTTCGTGAATGATCCCTAAGTACAGAACCAGGAGTATGCCCTGAGCACCACTGGGTATGGTCCTAAGACAAGACAAAACAAAAACCCAATTAGGAGAATTTGACTGTGGAAGAAGTGGGAAGGAGTTAGTTTTTCATGAGTAGATAGACAGGATGTGTTTATGTTCTGATAACCTATTGAGCAATATACTTACAATTTTTATATTTCTCCTTATGGATGTTACATGTCCTTCAAAGTCTTTAATGAAACTGAAACCTTTGGGGTATATAGTGTGGTGTTTAATTTGGTTTATATAAATGAAGTTTTTCATTAGCATTTCTTTAAAATATTTATCTAGGACCAGGAAAAATTTGGATTTCAATTGAACCATTTTTATTTGTCCCTTTCATCAACCAAGCAACCGAGCACTGGTTATGGGTACTTGGTGGTGAAGAATTTTGTACCCAAAGGGTCTTGAAACTGTCAAGATGGGATTGTTACTGGGACTAAAGTAGCATCAGAGTAGATCCCTAGAGTCAACATGAAGGAAGTTAATTCCAGATGTTGTAGTAGTGGTCAAGAGCTAGCAAGCTATTTTACATAAGCTCTGTTACCCCTATATCATGGTACTTAAAACATGACTTTTCTTAAGTGTGTTAAAATATAAATTTTTCTAAGTAGCAGGGAGTGGGGTTTCGGTGTGCTAACTAAAATAACTAGTTTTGGTGGGAACGTGCAATGGTGGTGGGATTGTTGTTGGGTTATTGAATATAACTTCACCATGAAAAACTTTGTAAAAATAAATAAAATGAAAAAAATCCTTGTTTTTTTTTTTGGGGGGGGGTGCGCCCAGCAATGTTTAGGGGTTATTTCTGGTTTTGCACTCAGGAATTACTCCTGCTGGCACTTGGAAGATGGTATGGGATGCTGGATTAACTGCATGCAAGAAAAATGTCTTACTCTCTCTACTATCTCTCTGGCCTCCAAATATCTATTGATTATTGGTGGTGCCTCACACATGCAGGGCAAGTATGTGGTCTGTCCCTGGAAAATGTCTCGTGCATTGGAGAAGAATTTTCAATTCTTCTGTGGGTGGAGAACCCTACACATGACTATCAATTCCAATCTATATTTCTTTCCTTCAAGCCAGTGCTTCCTTATTTAATTTCTGACCTGGTTAATCTAGTCAGCAGTGAGAGGGAGTCTTCAAGACTCTTACTACTATTACTGTTGCTATCTCTCTTCAGGTCTGTTAGTTTTTTAAAAATCCATTTTGTTGTTCCTTTATGTAAATGGATGCTTCATCACCTTCATGTATAGATCCTTGATTATTATATGATCCATCTTTGTCCCTTACAACCTTTTTAAATTAGAAATCAGTTTTATTTGAATTAAATAGCTCTCCTAGCCTTAATTTAGGCTCCTATTTTCCTATAATTTCCCTCCTTTTCCTCTGAACTCGTGCTTGTCATGATAGCCCAGATGTATCTTTTGTAGGCAGCAGAAGATTGGTTTCATTTGTTCTGATCCATCAAGCCACTTTGTCTTTTGATTGGTGAATTCAGGTCACTAAAGTCAAGTGAAAATTTTAAAGGAATTTATTGCTATAATTTTAGCAATAAATTATTGCAAACATCAATTCTGGGTGTTTTTGAAGTTTACAAACCAGTCAACCAATTATCACCAACCTATTATCTTCCCTGTTCTCTTTTCCTCTTCCAGAATTCTGTAATGCAAATGTCATTATAGAGTTTCTCTTTCACATTTCTTCACTGTTGTTGCTTCCTTTTTTCCTCTTCTGATTTTTGTTGATGCTTTCCTTGGCTTGTCACTGTGCTGCTGACCCTCTCAGTTGTGCTTTTTAAAATTCACCACCTCTGTTCCCTAGTAATTTCTAATAGAAGCTTTCCCATACTTTCTTTTCTCTTTGTGGAGTGCTCTTCTAGTGTTTTCCTCAAGTTAGAAAACATCCCTAACTTTTTCAGTGAGTTGTTGTTGGGTTTGGGGGCCACATCCAGCAATGAATGCTCAGGGCATACTCTTGGCTCTGCTTTCAGGGCTCACTCGTAGCAGTCCTCCGGACACTATATGGGATGCTGGGGATTGAATCCGGGTCAATTTGCATACAAGGCAAATGCCCTAGCCCCTGTACTATTGCTCTGACTCCCACTGTCACTTCAGTGTCTCCATCAGAGAGGTCAGAGAGCTCTGTTGAACTTGGCGGACCTTCCCGGGCTTTCGTCTTCATTCACTGCTGCTGCTGTTTTACTGTGTCTGGTGTGATGTCACTGGATGAGGATCTGGTTTTATGCAGGCCTGGGTGACATTCTAAGGTTCACGTTCACCAAATCCTCCCAGAGATTGGTGCTGGATTTGCTCTGCTCCCTACTGCTGATGGGAACCTCTAGCAGAACGCTTCAGCCGGCTCACCAGAGACAGACGGACGGACCAGTGCTGCCTCCCAGCGTTTGCCGCTGGGCGCCTTCACTGTGATTTATTGCCAATGGTAGTGCGCTTCATAGAACCTATGTCCCTTAATGTTGGAGGACATCCTCTCTCTGACCTTGGTTGAGCCTCAGCAGTGTCAGATGCCATGGGGCAGCGGGTGGGGTTGGGTTATCCAGGCTTATGTTTTTGCCCGCCGGTTTTTTGCCTCCTGGTCGGGTCTTGTTGAGGGTTTTGTTTTAGAAGGTTGAGTTGCAGATTGTCAGTCTGCCTGTTTCTCTTCCCTGCAACCTTTTGTGCCTTTGCAGCATCCCTGGGCCATGTTCTTTATCAGCCGGCTGTACCCTGTGGAAAGAGTTTCACCTCAGAGAAACTCTTTTATGGAACTGATCACTGGGTATTCCTGGACACCACCTCCATGGGGTTTCACACAAAATTTTAATTGTTTTCTGGTTAGTTTTTGGAGACATGGCATCATCTCAAATGGCTTCCATCATGTCTGGTCCTCCCCTCCTGAGTGAGGTTGTTGTAAATGCACTGCGCTGTTTAACATGTGATAGGTATTCAGTAGATGCTAGACTTTTCCCCATTTCTCTGGGTAATTCAGAAAATATTATTGAGAGGATATAATCTTTCTAACTGTGGAGAGTGGAGAGTATTGCACAATGGAGAAAAATGTTGCATATTATTTCTAATATTCATTTTAGGCAAAATTTTTAATCTTTGAAAGAAAGCGATAACTTTTTGAATTAATTAAGAATTTTGAAAAAATTTCCTCCCGTTGTTCTTCGATTTGCTCGAGCAGGCACAAGTAACGTCTCCATTGTGAGACTTGTTACGTTTTTGGCATATTGAATATGCCACGGGGAGCTTGCCAGGTTCTGCAATGCGGGCAGCAGTGCTCTAAGGACCAAGAATATAGGTCAGTGGTAGAGTGGGTTGTGTGGATGAGTTCAAGTTCAGTGATCAGTAGCACATAGAAATGCAAGTACATAAATACTGTGATCCAGCTCCTCTTTAAATAATTTTGCATACAAAAGTACAAATGTTTATGTCTTAGGGACATAGTGGTATTATAACACACATACCACAAGAGGGTCATTGCTCTTCCACCACTGTCTGTAAGTTCTTTTCTGTCCCTGTGGTCCCCCAACAAGTTATTAACCTAAATTCTGTTACCAGAATCCAAGAGTTGGTTTTCATTCATTATCTATCCCGTTAGCTTTCTTTATATCTTATGAAGGAGGATATTGGACATTTGTCTCTTTTCTGACTTACTTTGCTTAACATGACACCTAATTTTATTCATGTTGTAATAAAATGCAGGATTTCATCTTATAGTTAGGTTGTATTCTGTTGTGTACATATACCACATCTTTATTCACTCATCTATTGTTGGACTAACCTACTCTGTTAATAGACTTTTCCAATAAAAATATTTTCTTATTAAAATTATACTATCTAAGACAAAATTTTAAATTATTTCATTATCTTATCACTGATATAAAATTTGGGTTGGTTTTCTTCCAATTACTTGTCTGTAAATTTTTGACTGTAGTTTAAGATAAAAGTGTCCATGTGATTTTTATATTTTTCATTTAGAGTTTTGTTGTTAAACACTTAGGGGGTTTCCAGTTTTTATAATGCTGTGATAAAATATTTTTTGCATAAATCATCTACATTTAAAAGGATTTATTTAGTAATATAATTAAAGAAATATAATTACTCAATCTTAGGGAAACATATGATTTTTAAATGCATATTTTAGAATTTCTCTATAAAAGGGGCATTTTAACTTTGTACTCTTTACCAGGAACATATAAATGAATTCATTTTGTGGAACTCTTGCAGCTAATGAATATTATCCATTTAAAAACATTCATTTTCTTTAAAAACATTCATTTTCTTTTTTTCTTTATAGCATATAGCTAGTCCTGAGCACAGATTCATGACTGCCCAGAATAGACAGTGGATGGGTACCACCAGTCTGATGGAACGTTTCTTGCAGGATGTCCTGTGGCATCATCCATATCATTCTCAAGAGAGCAGGTAAAATATCTTTGTGGAATGATGTTAAGCCATTGTTAAATGTAATAGTACATAGTAGATATTTGTGTTGACATTACAATACTTCTTAATGTGAATCTTAGAACCAAGAAATATAAAGTGAAGGACTGGAGAGAGATACGTTGTGAGTAAGGCACTTTCTTTGCATGTAACTGATCCAGATTTGATTCCTGGCACCATATATAAGTCTTCAGAGCTCCCAGTAGTGGTCCTTGAGCTCAGAGCCCAGAGTAACCCCTCGGTACTGCCAGGTGTGGGCTCAAAACCGGGAGAGAGAGGGAGGGGGCAGAGGGAGGAAAGGGTGGATTACAGTGAAGTCTTTCTAGCAATTTTCCTTTATCGTTAAAACTTTTTTTCTTAGTTTAAGTAAGAAATTTTACTGTAGAAGATATGCATTGTACTAGGATGTTTCCTAAGTGAAAGAAAAGAGTATCATTAAGGTATTTTACAAACATTATGCCATAAGTTAAGGAGGTGTAGATGGTGAGAATAAGGTAATTTTTTTCTTTTTTTGCTTTTTGGGTCAAACCTGGCAATGTACAGGGGTTACTACTGGTTCTGCACTCAGGAGTTACTCCTGGCGGTGCTCAGGGGACCATATGGGATGCTGGGAATCGAACCCGGGTCAGCCATGTGCAAGGCAAACGCCCTACCCGCTGTGCTATCTCTCCAGCCCCGTTTTTTTTTTTTTTTGAGAATAAGGTGACTTTTAAAAAGTGTAATAAAATATGGTAATGATTGTGGAGTAAGGATTGTAGAGTAAGGTAATAATTGTTATATTGCAGAGAAATTGTAATTGTTAATGTTAACGGAACTATTTGCTAACTGTATAGAAGTAATATCAAAGAAAATTGATTTTATGTCATTATCTTGAGAGCTTTCTCTATTTAATTTTGGTTGTTGTGATAACACTTTTATATCATTTAATAATTAATGTTCCATTATAATTAATGTTAAAGAAGGAAGAGTGGTAGAAAATTGATTAAATTTTATAGTGTGTTTGCAACTAAAGTCAGTTGAGATAAGGCAAAACATTAGCATATCTGTGCAGAATTACTTGAGTCAAAAATCAGGAATAAATAAGTAATTTCTCAAATGCTTTAACCAAGAATTTAGAAAATTCTGTGGGGAAAGGATAGAAAAAAAAGACATAATTTTTTAGTTTGGTAGAAAAAATTATTATATCATGGGATTAAATACCTTTCTAATTTCTAGCTTAAATAAACAAGCTTCATTGTATTGCTCATAGAACTGTTTTTCTGTGATGTAGATTCCAAAGCTTAAACTTTTGGATCAGAGTTTATGGAAATTAAAGAAATATTTTAAAAAATTTTCATTCTGGAGTAATAGCCAGTTATAAAATATTGTAAAACTAGGACTGGAGAGATAGTACAGAGGTTAAGGTGCTTGCCTTGCATTCAGCCAATCTGGGTTAGATCCTCAGCACTGCAGATGGTCCCCTGAACCCCACAGGGAGTGATTCTTCTTTTTTTTTTTTCTTTTTGGGTCTCACCCGGCAATGCACAGGGGTTACTCCTGGCTTGCGCTCAGGAATTACTCCTGGTGGTGCTTGGGGGATCAACGGGGATGCTGGGAATCAAACCCAGGTTGGCCATGTGCAAGGCAAACACCCTACCCGTTGTGCTATTGCTCCAGCCCCAGGAAGTGATTCTTGAGAGCAGAGCCAGGAGAAAACCCAGAGCATTGCTGAGTATCGCTTTCGCCAACTCTAGCCCTCTCTCAAAAGTTGTAAAACTGAATGCAAGAAATTGTGAAGCCTTCATCTAGCTTCCCCAGTGTGTGAACTCTATAAACTACAGTACAGCGATCACAGTATCTTCACAGTTTCTGAAGCGAATTGATCAACTGTTTTGTAGACTATCTAAACTACCTGTATCCCTGATCATTCCTCGTAATTAAGCTTAGTTTATACACTTATCCATGTCTGCTCCCTACTACTGTCCATGAGACCCTTCTTTTGTCCCTCTGCCACATACTTTATTTATTTATTTTAATTTTTTTTTTTTTTTGCTTTTTGGGTCACACCCGACAATGCTCAGGGGTTACTCCTGGCTCTGCACTCAGGAATTACTTCTGGTGGTGCTTAGCGGACCAGATGGGATGCCGGGGATTGAACCCGGGTCGGCCACATTCAAGGCCAGTGTCCTCCCCACTGTACTATTGCTTTGGCCCCAAATAATTCATTTTATAGTACTTATTACCCAATAAATGGCTAACAGAATGATCAAAAAATATTTCCTTCAGTGAAAATTAATGAAAATCATTGTATCTCACCATGGGGATGTAAAGTCCTCGTTTGAAGGATTACTAAGATGTGACAAGTTAATCCTTCTGTGTTAATATTTCTATAATTGAGATTTATTGGCTTCCACATTACATCCCATCTAAATCTGGTGTGCTACTACTGGATTATCAGTGTTGTAAGGTTTGGAAATATGGTGCAGCTGTGAAGGCGGCCATGAACTCGAGGAAATCCAGAATTTTTAAATGGGTGGTATAGCTGGAGTTAAATTTTTAACTGGTTAATGTCCGAGAAATCTTTCGGCTAGCTGTTCTCATTCGAGATTTATATGTGTTTCTGGAACAAGGCCGGTAGATGCGCTTACCTGGTGGCAGAGGTGGTTCTTGGGCCTGGTTGTTGGAGCTTCCAGAAATACGAAGAGGTATGGGGAGGTGGCCCATCCCAACTCCGAGAAGGCCTGGAGTTTTCAACCACAGGGACCCCGTGTACCTGAGTTTTTCCTAGAGATTTAGTTTTCTGTGAGTCTTAGTCCTGAGATGATAGAGTCCAACCAGATGCATGGAGGCGACTTCGGGGTGTGGGAGTGAGTAGCTGCCAGGGAGAGCAGATGTCTCAACTGGAAATGGGTGCCTGAGAAATTTCTGCAGCTAGTTGACCTCTTTCACGGTTTATTTTTGAGTCTCTGGAACAAAGCTGGTAGATGAGCTTCATATTAGTGGAGGTGATTTGTCATAGGACCCTTTTGTCGACTTCCTTCACACTTGGTTACTTAAGGTCTGTCATCAGAATCTAAGGATTGGTTTTCATTGGACATTGTCTTCTCCCTTTCTTTATTCTATCGAATGTATGAATAATGTCCAGTATTTTCTTCTGATTTTACTCTATTTGACCTCTCCAGTTTTATCTATGTTGTTAAAATGGCAAGAGTTTGTCTTTTCTTGTTTCATTTTTGGTTCACACCCAGCAGTGCTTGGGGCTTTCTCCTGGCTCTATGCTCAGGGATCTCTCCCATCAGTGCTTGGGAGAGCAATAGGTGGTGCCAGGATGTAACCATGGTCAGTAGCCTGCAAGGCAAACACCTTAACTCTTATCCTATATCTTGTGCCCCTTATGTTTTTCTTATAGATGATTACATTTTTAATCTCTAACTATATCTTCTTTAGCCATGCATTTATCATTGGACATTTGAGTTGTTTCTGTGTTTTGTCACTTATAAATAGATAGACATGCAAGAACACTGTCACCATCACTATCCTCCTGTTGTTCGTGGATTTGCTCAAGCAGGCCCGGTAACGTCTCCATTGTGAGACTTGCTGTTACTGTGTTTGGCATATCGAATACATCCTGGGGAGCTTGCCAGGCTTTCCTGTGAGGGCAAGATACTCTCAGTAGCTTGCCAGGCTCTCAGAGAGGAGCGGAGGAATAGAACCCGGGTTGGCTGGGTTGGCCGCGTGCAAGGCAAACACCCTACCCGCTGTGCTATTGCTCCAGCCCATGCAAGAACACAGGTGTGCATATATCTTTTTGGATTAATATTTTTATATTCTTCAGATAAATCCCTAAGAGTGGAATTACTAGATCTCTGTATAGATTATTTATTTTTATTTGGTTGGGGCCATGTTTGGCAGTGCTCAAGGCTTTACTACTGGCTGCTGTTCAAGGATCACTCTTAGCAATGCTGGGGTATCATATTATATGTCATACCAGGACTTGAATTGAGGTTGGCCGCAAGCACCTTAACCCCAGTACTATCTCTTTGGCCCTAGTAGAACTATATTTATTAATTTGAGAAAATTTCATTCTGTTTCCCTTAGAGGCTTGACAAATGTGTATTCCCATCAACACTTCTCAGAGGTTCCTTGTTTGCCACATCCTTTGGGGTACGCTTAACAGTGCTCCGGGGCTATTCCTGGCTCTTAGTTCAGAAGTGACCCCTGGTGATGTGATTATTAACATCTGTACTAAATTGGGCTGTGGCCCATTTCCCCCCCTTTTATTTCTGATATTATTTTTCAGGGCTTTCTCTATTTCTTAGTGAGCTTAGCTGAGGATTTGCAATTACACCTGTTCTTTCAAGTTTGCATTGTCTTTTTAATGTTTTATTTATTTTAACTCTTATTTTTGTTTATTCTGTTGCCTTAGGTATCATTTGCTCTTTTTTTCTAATACCTTTAGTTGTGAGGTTAGATTGAGATTTTTCTTTTCTTCTTTTTTTTCTGTTTTGGGGCTTTTTTTTTTTTTTTTTTGGTCACACCTGGCATTGCTCAGGGATTATTCCTGATTCTGCACTTAAGAATTATTCTTCGCGGTGCTCCAGGGACCATATGGGATGCTGGGGATTGAACCCGTGTTGGCCACATGCAAGGCAGATGTCTGTCCTTCTGTACTATTGCTCTTCCCCTGATATTTTTCTTGTTTTCTGATGTCAGCCTGTAGTGCTATGAATATTCCTCTTAGTACTCTTTTTGCTGTCTCCCTTATGTTCTGATAACTCAAGTTTTCATTTTATTTATTTCCAGGAATTTCTTTAGTTTCCCCTTTGATTTACTCATTGAGACAGTTTTTATTCAGTAATATGGCATTTGATCTTCTTGTATTTGAGTTTTTCTAGTTTTTCAAATGATTGATTTCAAGTTTCACACCATTGTGTTCTGAAAATTTATTTATTTATTTAGTTTTGAATATTTTTTGATTGAATCACTGTGAGATAGACCCTTACAAAGCTATTCACGATTAGGTTTTAGTCATACAGTGTTTCAACACCCATCCCTCCACCAGTATACATTTCCCAGCACCAGTGTCCCCAGTTTCCCTCCCATAACCCCCTCCACACCTCCACAAACAGCCTACCTCTATGACAGGTACTTTTCTTCTCTCTCGCTCTCGCTCTCTTTCTCTCTCCTCTCTCTCCCCCCCCCCCCCCTTTTGGGCACTGTGGTTTGCAGTACAGATACTGAAAGGTTATCACATATGACCCTTTACCTACTTTTAACACTCAGTTCTTGTCCAGCATGATCAGTAAAAAGGTATTTATTATGATTTTATCTTCATGTCTTTATTGACAAGTTTGTGTCTCAGTATGAGGTTTATTCTTGAGGTGTATTCTTCCATGGACACTAGAGAGAATCTGTCCTAGGATAGGAAGAAAATAACATACCTTATACTTTATTTAAACATCTTAAATTGATAGTATAATGGTTTTGTTGACTTTTTTTTTTTGCATTTTAGATCAGTCCAGAATGAGAGACCTATGAATGCATCACCTTCTCAACTGGTTCCTGTTGAAGTTTTTCCTGAAGAAGTGAATGATGATGATACTGAAGACGGAGAAGAGAGGCTCAGTATGGGTTATGAATCCGATGAAGAGTTAGATTCCAGATCTAGTGAACCTCAGGAAAATATTCAGAATGTTTCCATTCGACCATCAGTTATTCAAAAGTTGGAGAAGGGTCAGCAGCAGCCCTTGGATTTTGCTTGTAAAAGTGGGAATGGTTTAAAAGAATTTAATCCAGTAGGTGTCAGTCAAGCTACAAATAATGGGCAAAACGTAGCACGTTCCTCCGTAAGTTCTAATGTTCATGCTAGTTGTTTACCAGAAATTTCAAATGGTAGACCAGTTACAGCTAATACTAGCAAGTTGCCACAGGTAGCACATTTGGATTCTGTTAGTGATTGTGACCCTAGCAAAGCTGACAGGTACTTTGAACAGCGAGAGAGAGGTTCTAGAAACACGGTGCTAACATCCTGTGTAAATATTCCTTCAGTTTCATGTCAGAAACCTAAAGAATCAGATCAGAATTCTGTACATGTAAATTCAAAACAGATGATTATACAGGAGGATATAAAAACTCCAGATAAGACTTTGTCAACTGAATTAGCAGGTACTGGAGGCTCACTAAAATGTGAATCTCTTTCCAAATTAGAAGTAAACCTGCCTATCAATCTGAGTAAAAATAAAATGCCTTCTCACAAAGGAATCTTTGAAGATTCCTTTCCAAAACAAAATGGGGATTTTCCTAACAGGTATTGTGCCCAAGGAGAGAAATATCTCGTTAACAAGTCAGCTTTTTTGCAACAAAAGACCTCAGCAGGTTCTGGAATGAAATTTGGTTGTGGCTATCTTCAGTCATCTTCTGATCAATACAAAGAGACTGTACTAGACCTTAGGAAGGAAAAACAAATTGACCAAGAAAAAAAGAATGCCTTGGGAAGTTCTGAAATGAGCTTTGATTATGATTCCTCTTTTTATTTACCAACTCACCAATCTAAAGTGGTAGCCAAAGAAGCAAATCTTTCAAAGGAAGAAATTGCTGATTTGCTATATACAAATGGTAAATCTTACACTTTTGAAGCAAGTTCAAATTTTGATGGTTTTCCTCAGTTGGCTGCTAACCAAATTCATGGAAATGTTGAAGACACAAATCTTCAGAATACAATGCCCATTAGCCTGGTTGATGAATGCTATAATTCTAGTGATTCTGAGATAAATTTTGACTGTGATGTTTCATTTCAGCCAAGTGATGGCTACCTCCAACAGTCCACCAAGGTAGAAAACCTTCCTAAGGGGGTATACATAGGCTTGGTTGATAGGAATTATGGATCTAGTAGCTCTGAAATAAGTGCTGATTCTTCTTCTCCACTTGAGTCAGTAGTTGACCAACTCCCAGTGGCTGTCATGGAAACAAAACCTCAGAAGTATCATATTTACTTGGTTGATAAGGACTACGGCTCAAGTTGTTCTGAAGCAAGTTTTGATGATGAATCAATAGTTGATCATCCTCAATTGACTGTCAAAGAAAGAAGCCTTAAAGATAACCATGCCTACTTGAAAGATAAGAACCATAATCCCAGTAGTGCTGATGCACACCTTGGTTTTGAGATAGTGACTGGTGAACCTCAGGAAGCTGTTAAAGAAATAAATCTGCTGGAGGCGAGTGGTCCCATGGATATGAACTCACATGAAAGTCAGGGACTTAAAATCAATTTTCATGCTCACTTGGTGGCTGACCAATCACAAGTGGCACTTAGAGAAGTAGACCCTCAAGAAGTAGCTTCTGATGTGAAGAATAAGAGTGTTAAATCTAGTGCTTCTGAGCTGAGTTTTGTTTCTAATGCTTCCCTTTATCAGCCAACAAATAATCAACCTCAAGAGGCTTTAAGTGAAAACAATGTGGAAGAGTCAAATATTGACATGGAAGTTAAGAGTTTTGGATGTTCCAGTTCTGACTTGACTTTCAATTCTGATCCCCCTTTTTTAACAGCCACTGAGCATTCTGAAATAGATAATGCAGGAATAAGAAAAGGATACAAAAATCTGGAAGATAAGAATTATGGGTCAGATAGTTCTGATATAACTTTTGATTCTGATATTTCTCTTTGCTCTGAGGATCAATTTCAAGTAGCTGTTTATGAAAAGAAACCTATAGATTCAGAAAGTAAGCGTACTGAATCTTGTATTTCTGAAATACATTTTGATTCTGATATGCCTCTTCATTCAAATAATGATCAGCCTCTAGAAGTTGTTAAAGAAATAATTGTTAAAAAGGAAGAGTATGTACACTTAGAGAGGAAAAATGATGAGCCCCATGGTTCTGAAATAAGGTTGGATTCTTATGTTTCTCCTCATTCAGTGACTAACCTTAAAAATGAAGAATGGGCACATTTAGAAAATTTGAAATATGAGCCTAGTGGTTCTGAATTGAATTTGGACTATAATATTTTTCATTCAGTGACTAAACTTTCTGATGGTCCCATTAAAGAAACAAACTTTCAGAGAAAAGAGGATAGATACTTAGAAAATAAGAATAATGAACATAGTATTTCTGAAACCAGCATGAAATCAGGTGTATTTTTAGTGACTGGTCATCCTGACTTAACTGCTAAAGAAATAAACCAGAAAAAAGAACCTGCAAGTATGGAAGACAACGGTAACAGATTAAGTGTTTCTGAAACAAGTTTGTATTCCACTATCCCTCTTCAGTCAGTGACACACATACCTGAAGTAGTTGTTCAAGAAATATGGCTTCAAAAAGAAAAGCATGTTAATTCCAAAGATAAAATGGCTGAATCTAGTGATTCTGAAATAAATTCAGATTCCGAAGCTCCTCATTATTTAGTGAATGAACCTCAGATAGCTTTGAAAGAAATTAATGTTCAGAAAGAAGTGCATGTTTTAGGAAACAAAAGTGTTATCCGCAGTTGTTCAGAAATGTTTTTGGATCCTGGTATTCCTTCTCAGTCAATGACAGATAAACCTCAAATAGTTATTTTGAATAAAGATCACATTGATCCAGGAAATGAACATCCTGAATCTAGAGGTTTTGAAATAAATTTGAATAAGAGCCCTCTTCATTCAGTCATCAGTGAATCTAAATTAACCCTTTTAAAGGAAAAACATGTTGACCTGGAAGGTGCAAACAGTGAATATAATGAATGCAGAATGCATTTTTATCCTGTTGAAACTCTGAAGCCATTAACTGAACAATTTCAGGACAAAGTAAAGCTGTGGAATGAAGATGTTGGTTTGGAAAATAAGATTGATGAACATAATGGTTCTAAATTAAATTATTCTAATGTTTCTCTTCAGTCTGTGGCTGAACAACCTGAAGTAGCTGCTAAACGTATTAAACTTGAAAATCAAAATCATATTTACTTGGGAGATACGATCAGCCAATATAATGATCCTATAATGAATTTAAATTCTAATTTTTTGGTGCAGTCAATAGTTGATCAACCTCAAATAAACATTTTGGAGCAGGGGCATATTGAACTGGAAGAGAAGCATCATCAGTTCTGTGGTTCTGAAATAAGTTTTGATTCTGATGGCCCTGTTCAGTTAGTGGCTGATCAGCTCAGAGAAACTGTTAAAGAAATCAGTCTTTGGAAGGATGAAATTGATGTGGAAGAGAAGAGGGATGCCCCTAAGACTTTTGAAATTGTGTATGAATCTGGTGTTATCTTTCAGTCAGTACCTGACCAATCTGAAGATATCCTTAAGGGCATCAACTTTTGGAAGAAGCACGCTGATGTGGAAGATAAAATTGGGCCCAGTAATTCTAAAATATCTTTAGGTTCTAATGAACCTCTTCAGTCAGTGACTCATGAATTTCAAGAGAATATTACAGAACTAAATCTTGGAAAGGGACATGTTTGTCTGGATGAAAAAGGCTACAAAATCGATGATTCTGGAATAATTTATGTATCACATGGCCCTCTTCCACCAGTGGTTGAGCACCCGCACATTTTAGAAGAGGAACATGACAATTTGGGAGAGGTATGCGATGATCTTTCTGGACCTGGAATAAGTTTTGTTTCTGAGGACCCTCTTCACTCAGTAACTAACCAGCTTCAAAGTGGTGTTACAGAAATATGCCCTTGGAAAGAAGATCACATTTATCTGGAAGATAAGACTTATAACTTAGGCAATTTTGAAGTAAACTGTGATTCTGATACTCCTGTTCACTTTGTGGCTGATAAATCTGCCATAACTCTCAAAGAAATAAACTTGCAAACAAAAAGTGCTATTGACCTAGCAGATAGGAACTATGACTCTACTATTTCTGAAATAAAATGTGATTCGGGTATTTGTCTTCAGTTGAAAGTAGATGAGCCTCAAGTGATTTGCAAGGAAATAAACCTTCAGAAGGAAGAGCTTCTTGGCATGGAAGAAAAGAACAGCCAGTCTGAGATCATATGTAATTCTGATGGCCCTCTTCAAATAGTTGTTGACCAACATGGAGTGTCAATTAAAGAAACAAATCTTGAAAAGATGCTCGTTATGGACCTGGTGACTGGCGATAGTGATTGTGAAAATATTTCTGATTCTGATAACACTTTTCAGCCTGTAGTGATTGACCCACCTCAGATGACTGTTAAAGGGGTCAACTGTATCAATACAGAACAGTTTGATCTAGAAAGTGAAAGCCGAGACTCTTTTACTTCGGAATTAAGGTATGCTTGTGACACTTCTAGCTCACTAACAAAAAAATCCAAGGACACGTTCAAAGTAGTAAACCAGAAGAAAGATTACATTATTCTCCAAGAGTCCAGCTGTGAGTCTTATGGTTCTGAAATAAATTTTCAAGTTGATCCCACTCCTCAGACTGTAACTTGCCAGTCACAAGGGCCTGATAAAAAAAAAATGAAATATAATGACTCGGAAGATAAGAACTGTGAATTGAATAGTCCAAGCACAAGTTTTAAGTGGGAAGATCCATCTCAGTCAGTGACTCACCAACGACAGAAAGTGGACAAAAAATTTAGCTCTCAGAAAGATGGAGTAATTATTAATCTACAAGATAAGAACCATGACTCTAGAGTTTCTGAACTTGATTGTAGTGCCTCTGCTGAGTCAACTCATCATCAAAATGTTGATAAAGTTCCTATTTTGCAGTTAGAACATCTATCTCTAGAAAGTATGAGCTGTGAACCATCTTGTTCTAAGACAAATTGTCAGAGTGGTTCTTCACTTGTGTTTGACCCTTATAATCCTCAAAAAGCTGTGAATAAAGTAGACTTTGTTAAGAAGATGTCTTATACACTGAAAGAAAGGAAGCAGGATTCTGATTTAAACACTGTTCTCGTGGTTGATTCTGAAAGTATCCCAGATCAAGTGCATGTGGTCATAGAAGATAATCATGTAGAACCAGTTCTTGAAGCCTTGCCTCACATCCCACCTTCATTTGTAGGGAAAACATGGTCTCAGATAATGAAAGAAGATGACATGAAAATCAATGCTCTCGTGAAGGAATTCAGGGAAGGTCGTTTCCATTGTTACTTCGATGATGATTGTGAGACCTGTAAAAATAAAAAAAAAATTCTGAATAAAGAAGAAAAGATTACCCGGGCTGACCTAGGTCAGGACACTGCCTCAAATCACATTCTCTCAGCCGACAATGCTAGTCTTTTTTTGGACATTAGTGACTTATCAGTGGCCTTAGATAAATTTAGCCATCATTCTCTAACAAAGATGCCTTATGATCAACCATACCGTGCAGCTTCTAGATGCCAGACTGTGAAACTCAACCATGGAACTCAAACTCCCGTGAGTCACCCAGGTACAAAAAGAACGAGGCAAGGGGAAGATTCACCAAAAAGGAAGCATTCAAATGTGACCAGAAAAAGGAAGAAGAGAGTCAGAACAGAAACACTTGAATTTCCCCAAACCTGTACTCATATTTTGAAGCCTTTGCAACCCAATGCCTTACTCTATGTTCTTTCATCAAATGTGTATAAGATAAAGGAAGATGAATCCTTAAATGTCTCAAAAATGAGGCCCAATACTGACATAAATAATGGGGTTCTTAGAGTGCAGTATAAATATAAATGGAGCACCATTAGTGGTTATGACACATTGAATCAGCAAATGGCAGTTGATACTTCTCCTCCGAAAATGGAAATGCCAGAGCATGAGGGGAATATTTGGGTTAACATACATTTTGATGAGAGTAGCCTAAATGCAGGAGATAAAGATGATTCACAGAACTCTGTAAAAGATGAATTAATGACACAGGAGAGGGACAGTGGACATTTTGTGTCTCTGGAAAAACCAGAGATTTTGAATTCTAATGAAGTTCCTAAGGAAAGTAATTTCCAATTAAGTCTTTCTAATTGTGATGCTGCCAAAATTCCTCCAACATCAGTGAGGGGTAAGGTTTCAGAAAGTAAAAAGAAAATTCAGAGAAGGAAGTTGGCAGCTAGGAAGTCGGATTTACCCCAGAGGGCTTATAAACCAGTCATTCTCCAGCAAAAAAAGAGAATTGCTTCTGAAGCACAGTCAATTTGGATTCAGACCAAATTAAATGGCATAATCAGAAAGTATATTACAAAATATTCTATTTTCTTGCGTCATAAATACCAGTCCAGGAGCACTTACATTAGAACATATCTGAAGAAAAAATCTGATGCTGGCAAATCAAAGAAGCCCAAAAGACAGACCCAAATACCTTCCAACTCAGTTCCTTCTGGCGCAGAAGAGAAGGAAACAGCTGATGCAAATTCCTCTCTGAAGCAACAACCTGTGCAGGGTGCACAGCAAGAGCCCCCTGAAGCTCTTCCCTGAAGCACTGATGCAAGGTTCTGCTAGTTTTGCAGGAGCTATTGGAAGCTTTTCTCTGAAGCAACCTGCACAGCATTGCAGAAAGAAGAATGGTATATGAAAAAAAAAAACAACCCTAAGGAAACAAAAACATGGAATACTTATTAAAATATATTCTTTGAGAAGTTTATGTCCCGAAGTACCATACTCTGATAGAATAAAGGTTGAGACCGACAACCAAGGCATTTGGTAATGAGGTAGATGAGAAGAGTGACTGTGTTAAAGCTAGTTGAAGACTCAGTACTTCAGCCGAAACATGTCTAATTTTTAAATGCAGGTAGCTCTCCCAATTTTGGTGGGAAAACAAAACTTCAAATATTTTGCTACAGACATTATTTTTTCCAGAACTTTCATATTCATTTAAAATCCATATATAAGGTCTTTTTTTAAAAAAAAAAAGATTTGAAAGCACCTTTCTCCATTGTTGTAGATGAACTTTTGATTTGTTACAGTTTAGAACAGTGTTCATTTTTTGTTCCTAAATCATGCCCCTCTTATTTATTTTTAATTATTATATCTCATGTCAGCAGTTTAAAATATTGGAAGAGTGAACATGGCAAACATTAAATGCTATCTTGTTTTACTTTTTTTTTTTTTCAGATTGAACCCAGGGCCTCACACATGGGAGGCATGCACTTTATTTTTGAAATTTTTATTTTGAAAAAAAAAAGTTTCTTTATTTTTGCCTTTAAAAATTGGTACAAATGAATTAAAAACTATATTTTAAAATGTTTTTCCCCATAAGATATAATTATAAGACCATATTTATTCTATGTGTTCTAAGAGTTAATATATTCTAGCTGAATAAGGAAAAAGAAGAAACTATAGTAGATTATTTCCATTTTTGAGATGGGGTGACTACAAATGATCACCAAAAAAGTATAATTTATCTTTCTTTAAAAAAGAATTTCCAGAGAATGTGATTCCATAATATTTAATACAGTTTCTAAAATGGCCTGGAGAATTTACATCTGTAACATCAATTTTCCTTGTTTGCACCCAGTGCACAGTCAGTCGCGGTAAGTTTTTCTTGGATATTTTTATCGCCTAAGAAGGTGATCTGCCAGGATGACCGTGCTTTTAAGTTTTAAACCACCTTTATGCTCCTTCATCTGATTTGGTAGTTTGGTATGAAAATCCAGGTTATCTTGGACTTTATTTTCTAACAATATTTTGGACATCAGCATATTTTTAATAGATTGAACTGATCCCTGGGTTGGTGATGATTTTGACAGACCGTTCACTGTTGTCATTAATGAGTTATTTGTAACATTTGTTACAAAAGATCTCAGAAACCCATTAACCTAGGTAGAGGCCAATTTTCCAAGTGAAAAATGGTGTGTTTGTACATTAGTTTGGCTTTCATTAAACTTGCCAATTCATTTTAACACTTCAAGTGAAAGATGTTAAGAGATACAGTTGAAGTCTCAGGTACTCAGAATATGTTTAGAGTTTTTACTTGGGGATTGTTGAGATGGTACAAATGCATCTAATTATCTTCTGCCAGGAATTCTCTTTCCTTTTCTGTCAATGTTAAAGAGAAATGTGAACAGTAGCTGTATTGTGTGATTATTGTGTTTTATTGAAGCTAAATCAGTGTACTATAATTTCAGAGATAAAAATTATTTATGTTAGAATTAATGAAGATTAGTGTAGCAGTTGTTTTCTAAGCCTAGTTTTATTTCAGGCAGGGGTCATTATTTCACCACCCCTGGAGATGTTAGGATGGTGTTATGCTGTAATTTATTGACTATTTTTCATTTAAAGCAGTAATTATGTTTTTGTAGAAAAGACAGATATTTATATTTTTAGTGAAAAATTGCTTCAATTTTGCCTTATATAATACAAACACTTTATATGTGTATATACGTGTGTATATATGCACACACATATACATATATAATGGGTCACCATTTAAAAATAATTCCCCAGGGCCAGGGAGATAAATCAGTGGGCTGAGGCACATGCTTTTGCATGCAAGAGGCCAAGGTTTGATCCCCCTACCCTTCACTGCAGGGTCCCCTGAGCACCACCTGGAGTGACCCCTTCCCCACCCCATTCACCCAAGCACAGAATTGGGAATAGCTCCTGGGTGTGGGCCCAAAAATCAAAAATCCTCCAGTTTTAGCAAGAAAACTATTTTAATTAGGAACTAAATGATCAGTTATTATATAAAAACATTGTATTTGTGAGTGCTAGTGTCTTTTGTTACTATATATACACATAAGTCCCCTTATTCATAGATATTTTGCAAGCTTTTAATATATGTGAGGTGTAAGTTTAAAATCATATGGAAATGACTATCATATTTATTGTTAAATCAAGTAGAGATGACAGTTCTTATAAATCAAGTTGTTAAAAAACAAAGTTAAAAATATTTTACTACCTTTTTACATTGAAAGCGCTTCTAAGGACCTCCATTTTTTAAGAAGAAAATCTATATTTAAAATTCTTATTACTAAAAATATAAAAGCATAATATAATATTGTTTATCTAAAAATATTTGGAAATATTTACCAAGTTCCTCTAGCCATTATTTAAGAGAAGCTTAAAAACTTCAAATAATAAAAATTATAATTTAATTCAGAAATAAATGACTCAAAATTTGATAGGATACAAAAGACATGGTCAGTATCTATAAAAATTCATTGTGGTTTAATTTGCATATTAGATTTAAAAAGTTTGACTTTCATGTGTGTATTCACACAGATTTTTGTGTGTGTATTCACACAAAAAATGAATTAAATTCTTTTAAAAGTATATATCAAGTTACAACCACAATGAATATCTTGCTAATCTTGTCCCTAAAAAAATGAATTAAATTCTTTTAAAAGTATATATCAAGTAACAACCACAATGAATATCTTGCTAATCTTGTCCCTATTCAATATCTTGCATATATTTTCACTATAATTCCTCCAAATTATACAGTATGTGGACAGCAATGTGTAGAGTGTATTTTGCATTTGTGCATTTAGATTATTTGTTTAACTAGGGCGCTGAGTGACTTTTTTTTTTGGGAAAGAGAAACTATATTTAAATATTCAAACAACTATATTTCCATGTAAAACTGAGAAGACTAATGTATTTTTTATAACACAGTTTAAAGAACAAATCTGTTTTTTGAACTTATCATGATAAAATTTATCAAATACTGAAACTTATCTCTACTTTCTCCTCATATTAAGACATTTTTTTTTTCTGGAAATACTTAAGGAATCAGAGAATTATGAAACAGAAGTTCATTTTATAAATAGTCTTATAGATTATTAAAAGAATATAACGGTTATGCTGGTGAAAAAAGTAGTCTAACCAAAGATATACAAGTTATGTTTAATGAGTTCTATTCAAATTAAAGTTGAGCCACTATTTACTTGGTGGAGTGTGGGTTAACAGCTTTTCATTTTATCTACTATATTCCAAGAGTCAGTGGGACAAGATTAAGCTCAGGAGGCAGTGTCAACATCATTATTTGATACCTACTGGGCAGTTAAAATTGCCTTTGACTCCAGGACTGTAGCATTTGTCATAAAGGACAAGAAAACATGGGAGATTGTACGTTAGTGAGGTCATACCTTTGGCCTCAGTAATACTGATTTATGGGTAGTTTTGGTCTAGGATTATACTGTTAAAATGAACAGCAGCTTACTCTTTATAACAAAAATTGCTACAGTAAAACTATGAGAATCCATTCTCAATAAAAGACTAATAAAAAATAACTGGAAAAAACTAAAAAGTCATTGTACCAGTGAATTAGTATCTAAATGTCAACTTAAAAAAGATGACGGGCTGAGGAAGAGTCTCAGCATTTCCTTATGCTTTATCTAGACCTTAAGTATTAGGGAAATAAAAATATATTTAGTAAATTTACTTTGTCCTTATGCTTTCTATGTAGTTTTAAAAAAGCACTCCCAACATTTTTAAAACTACCTTGATTAAGGAATAAGTCTGGGATAAATTATAGTTTGTTGCTGAATCTTTTAAAAATATGAACTCAATGCTTTTTTCTGCTTATAATTTATTACATGCCTTTTGCTTTTTTAATGTGTTTTTTTTTTTTTTGCTTAAAGTTCTAAACTCTGAACTTTGTGTGTGTGTGTGTGTATGTGTGTGTGTGTGTGTGTGTGTGTGTGTGTGTAACTTGAGCCTTTACTTAGTACTGGGCGTTGTTCTAAGCTTTTAACTGGTTTTATCTCATTTGATCTTTCTGAGTTTGGTGACTATAATTGTTACCAAATAGCAGGTGAGAAAATTAAGGAGTGGGACCGCAGGCGGGTGGGCACTTGCCTTGCACCCAGCTGACCTAGATTATATTCCTGGCACAATGTAGGGTCCCCCATGCTCTGCCATGAATGATCCCTGACTACAGAGCCAGGAGTAAGCTCTGAGCACTGCTGGGTGTGACCCAAAAATAAAAAAAAAATTTAAAAAGAAAAAAATGAAAAAAAGTTGAGTACTTAAATATGAGTTGCTTATTATAACCAAATGGGGATTCCCATTCCAACTTTCTATCTTTATAGTTTAACCTCTATATGGTTGCTGCATATAAATGAAACCATACAATAAGTGATCTTATGTTAGACTTTCTTTTTTGAGGGCCGTTGATGTTGCATGTATCAGTATTTCATTGTTTGTGATGAGTAATATGTGAAATTAGTTTTTTTCCTCTTCCCTTACCTCTTGTTGTTGCTGTAACTAGGGGTTACACTTGTTTTGTGGTGCTCACCTGGGCTCTCACATTTGGTTAGGATGTGCCAGAGATTGAACACTTTTGGTGGTGCTAGGGGATCGAACTTGCAGCCTCACATCTACAGGAAGGCAGGTGCTCTACCACTGAGCCATCCCTGATCCTATATACTTAGTTTGTATTGAAGCTGATCATAGTATATCAGTCTTCTGATAGTAAATACTAAAAATATTAGGCTTGAGGGCAGCTGTCCCTTTTGTCTTTCATCCCTGTTCTTAGATTACTATCCCGATTCTGAGACTAACCAGATACCTGTCTTTTTGAGTGTCTTACCCCTACTTGAATGTTTTGTGCTTTTTGAGTGTTCTTACCCCATACTTGAATGTTTTGTGCTTTTTGACCCTTCAATTATTACCCACCTTGACTTTCTTGTCATTGTGTTTTGTGAGTGAGTAGAGTATCATATCCGATTTACCCATTATAAACTACATGGTCTACGGATCCAGGAAGGTTGATGATATAGCATTGGTCCTGGTGAACATTCTTCTTAAAAAAATTATTCTCAAACACAGTACATACCATCAAAACCAGGAAACCAACATTGCTCTGCTTTAACCCTCCACTCCATAGACCTTATTTGTACTTTATAGATTGTCTGAAAAATGCCCTCCTAGAAATTAAAGATTCAATCTAGGAGGACACACTGTCGTGATTTGTTAACTTCCTTATCATGGAGCAGTTTCCTCGGCCTTTCTTTGAATTTTATGGCTTGGTGTTTTGAAGTGTACAAACCAGTTTCTTTGTGGAATGTCCCTCAGTTTGATTTTATCTGGTGTTTATTTATAATTGATGTTTATGGGGGGGCAAAAAGTCTGTGAACTTCTCAGTGTCTTGTAAAGGAGCTATGTGGTGTCAGTTTGAATAAATGTGGTGATTGAAAAAAAAATCCAGTCTTGGTTCTTCTGTGGGGGGATCAATTTAATAATTCACTGATTATTGATTATCTAATTTATTCATTTCTCATCACAACTTTTGAGTCCTCCCATAACTCAATTTGTTGAGCAGAGAGAGGCCAGTACAGGAAAAGCCTTTCCTTGCCTGCAACTGGGGCTCTCACAGAGGCCAAATTGAGTTGTCAACAGTTACATTTTTTTTGCAGCTTAATTTTGAGACAAGCATGACTGAGGAGTTTGTGTTATATTAATCCTCTAATTTCTAGATAAGAAAGTTTATGCATACATCTAACAAATACTATATTCCTACTATGTGCCTGACTCTGGCCAGTGCCACT